AGTCAAATGTGGTGGGAGAAGGTAAGATGATTGACTTGAGGGCAATTAAAGTTATGAGATCAACTTGAAAAAAAGTAAGGGTGGTGATTCCAATACATTTCAGTCCCATTTCAGATTGTAGTTCCTTTGTTAGCGATTTGTCAAAAATCTCCATGCCTTCAAGAATAACTTTAACCATAATTTAAAGTTAAGATTTTTAGTCCAGACACATCTACATGTGATAGACAATGTCAACCCTGAAGTGAACCTGGCTGAGGCCATCTTTGTGGCTTCAGGGTTGCCACAAGGCAGAAGAGGGGACAGGGAGGGGGGAATAGTTAACTGGGGCTTTGCAGTCAAAATAAAGTTTTCCTGTGGGAACCAAGGTCATTCCAACAGGTGGCTGGGAGAGGAGGAGTGAAGTAACCAAGCAACCGGCCAGCACTTTGATTGGACAATGTGACTGATGATTTGGGGGAAGGGGAAAACTTTTACTTTTTAATTAGGTGAAAACTGTAGGAACTTTCAGAGTCGATTTTCACCAGCTGTGTCAATATGATGCATCCGATAAACCTGTGATGGGGAACCTATGGAATGTGTGCCGGAAGTGGCATCTCTCTGGGCACGCCAGCTGTCACTCGTTGCTCTTTCAGGTTCTGGCACGCACATGCGAACTGGGAAGCTGGTCTTCGTGCACGGGGGAGTGCTGGAAATCAGAAGAGTAGTTCCCTGGCACGCATGCACGCGCCGGGAAACTGAGCTTCTGGTTTCTGGTGCGTACATGTGCGCCTGCCAGCTGGTCTTTGCGCATGCATGCATGCCAGAAACTGGAAGACCAGGTGACTAGCGCGTATGCCAGAAACCAGAAGTTCAGCTTCCCGGCGTGCGCATGCTTGTGGGGAAGCTGCTCTTCCGGTTTCTGGCGCTCCCCTGCGCGCGCTCCCATTTCAGCACTCGGTGCTGAAAAGGTTTGCCAACACTGCAATAAACTGTTCTTTGAAGAATCTACTGGCCTCAGTGTTCTATTTTCAATGGGTGCATTACTTGGAACACTGACAGATGAGTGACTGGGTCTTCCTCATCTTTCCCACACATTATTTCACAAGGAGAAAGGCATAAATAGAATACATGAGAGGGAAAAAAAAAGATATGGCCACATGGGGTCGTATCCTGCGCATGTATTAACTTGCCAATGTCATAACTGAAGCTGATTAAAATTCCAGTGGTTCGGACAGTTTTAATCGGCATCTAACATCAGTTGCTTTTGACACAGCTGCTTGAAGGCTCAGCTCTCTGGAGAAGCTGCTTCTCTTGGAGATCAGCCATGAAGTTAGAGAATGCAAATCACAATGCAACTCAATGGGCATAGTTTCCCAAGCCATGTGAAATAAGTTCTTATGAGGCTGTATCTGAATAGCAAATGTTTTCCCTTTGATTTATAGTCAAACTTGCAATTGTTAGAGTAAAATGACATTAAGGGGAGCATATCTGAAGGATTGCACTAAAAATACCAGTAGAAATAATGGTGCTAGAGACGGTCAAACAGCTGCAGCATGAAACTAGGTTTTTGTGCCTGAATGTCCTTTGCAATAGTATTATGAACAATCCTGAAGCACATTTGCTGATTGTGTGATGCCTGACTGCTACCTTACAATCAATCCTAGACTCTCAGGGTGATTGATTGCGCGTTTGTGCAAAACGAAGTTGGGCAAGTATTTCCTTTTTTTAGCACTAATGAAAGCCTGCAAGATCTGTCTCCAATCTGTAGAACATTGCTTCTAAAATCAGGAATAGAATAGAATAGAATAGAATAGAATAGAATAGAATAGGGTGGGTTCTAAATTTTTTTACTACCGGTTCTGTGGGCGTGGCTTATTTTGTGGGCGTGGCTTGATGGTAATGTGACAATTATTTAGGATTTAGCAGAGGTACTGGTCTACCAGGCTTTTAACTGCTTGCAGAGCTGTACTGATCTACCCATTTATTTTTGCAGGCACTGATCTACTCGTGTATTTTTGCAGGCACTGGTCTAATCATTTGTTTTCTTTTAACACTGATCAGCTGTAGGGAGGCCCTTTGAAGCCCCGCAGCAAGAGTTTAAAAGGTTTTTTTCCCTCTAGCCATCAGCTGGAACTCAGGAGGCAGCAATAGATTGGGGGTGGGGCCAAATAAAAGGTAAGAATAACGTGGGGGTGGGTGGGTGGAGGTGTGGGTGGGCGTGGGGGGGGGGCAGAACCAGTTTGATGACATCATATCGTCACCGCTACCGGCTCGGGAGAACTGGGCCGAACCGGGAGGAACCCACCACAGAATAGAATAGAATAGAATAGAATAGAATAGAATAGAATAGAATAGAATAGAATAGAATAGAATAGAATAGAATAGAATAGAATAGAATAGAATAGAATAGACCTTGGAGGTGTTCTAGTCCAACCCCCTGCTTAGGCAGGAAACCCTATACCATTTCAGACAAATCGTTATCCAATCTCTTCTTAAAAACTTCCAGTGTTGCAGCGTTCACAACCACTGGAGGCAAGTTGTTCCACTGATTAACTGTTCTAACTGTCAGGAAATTTCTCCTTAGTTCTAAATTGCTTCTCTCCTTGATGAGTTTCCACCCATTGCTTCTTGTCCTGCCCTCAGATACTTTGGAAAATAGCTTGACTCCGTCTTCTTTGTGGCAGCCCCTGAGATATTGGAACACTGCTATCGTATCACCCCTAAATCTTACTTTATTACTCCATCTAGAATATCCTGCTGTTTCTATCCACCTCTAGATCCATATGCATCCTTTCTGAACCACAACAACACCGAAATGACAAAACACACATCACAATGTCACAATGCAACCTCTGTCTTTCTGTACGTACACATGCAAAAAAAAGACACATATAAAGGCTGGTGCTTGCCACGACCATGTCACAATGATGCATGTTTTGTCACTTGCCCCCTTCCTGCAGATGCCCACGGCTACCGTTGTCCAACCTAAGCGGGCGAATTAGTGCACATACAGTCATGTTCGTGTCTACCGAGATGTGAGTTCCATTCATTTCAGATGGGACCAATAGGTGAGTATGTGAAGGATCTGGGCCATAATTTTATGTTGCAATTCTCACAGGTTTCCAGAATGAATCAATGACATGAAACCACAATGGAGGTGGGTATGGGTGGGAAGGGACCAGCAAGTGAGAAGAGATAAATTGATGCTTCTTTGCCATGAGTGAAGTCTGCAGCTTCGCTTGTCGTCTACACCTAACCTGTACTGAGGAGATTTGCAGTGGCATTCAGAACTGCAGGTGACGCTCCTGGTCAACGAAGCACAGCCAACTTGAGCTCTACGGAGCAAAGGCAGGGTATAAATGCAATAGACTTAACTAACAGTCAAATCCTATGCAAATTTACTCAGAAGTCAGTCACCTTAAATAAGAACAGACCAGAATGTAAAGCTCTTCTAGTTCAGAGCAATGGTCCATCTAGTCCAGCATCCTATTCCTACTACAGCTAGACTTGGCCTCTAGAAATCATATCCTGCTTGTGATCAGAAGGTTGTCTAGAACATCATGGGTAATAGATATATGGGCTGGATTCAAACATCACACCCATCCAGAATATGGTTCATTTTGGGCTTAGCATAAGAGAACCCATCCATAATGGCTTAATGTTACCATATTTCCCCGAAAATAAGACTGGATCTTATATTAATTTTTGATCCAAAAGACATATTAGGGCTTATTTTCTGGTTAGGTCTTATTTTGGGGGAAAATACAATACTAAATGCACCCATCTGGCTGACAATCTTAACTGGGGCTAATTTTGGGTGTAGGGCTTATATTAAGAGCATTCTGAAAAATCATGCTAGGACTTATTTTCCGGTTGGATCTTATTTTCAGGGAAACAGGGTAGTTGTGAGTGAGGTAATTAAGGTTGGTTCAAACAACCATGGCTAGAAATCCAGGCTTACTATTATGTGTGATCCTATATTATATGTAATCCTCTTTTAAAGCCATCTGAGATAAAGGCTGTCATTATCAAAAGGGAAGGGATGTAACTTGCAAAAAAATATATATCCTAGATTTAGCCCTTGCATCTCCAGGTAGGTAGAAACTGTCTGGGATTTATTGACAGTACTGGGCTAGATGGACTAATTCCAAAGTAAGTATGCATAGGATTTCAACCTAATTATCTACATCAACTCTTGGAATGAGCTTTCTTCACTCTAGCTTCCTCCAGATGATATTACAATCCAAGAATTGCTGGCCAGCAATTTTTAATGGATGAAAACTTGGGGATTTCTTAGGTCAGTATATTTAGGGACTGGGAAATGGGGAAGAACTGATCTGTGCTACAGATCCCACAGGGAGCTTCAAAAAGCAGAAGAAACCAACCTTCTCAAGTCAAGTCCTCTAATGCTGAGCCTTTCATAGACAAAACCAAGAGCAATTAGAACAAAAGTTGCCAGCCCAACCCCTTGCCCAAGGAAGGAATTTCTAGCACCTCTGTTCGGACTTTTTCCTTTCTCTACAAAGCTCTAAATTCTCAACCACAAAATCCAATCTGTCTGAGAGCAGAAAATGTTCCTTGTTTTTATAAAAAGAAAATAAAACAGTGTGTCATCTCTATCTATCTATATATATATATACACACACAAAAGATACATATACATATATACATATATAGATGGCATTTAACAAATCCTTGCAATGCAGATGTCTATTAGCAACATATATGTATAGACTAAACATCTGCAGCCAAAATTAACCGAACCGGGTTTTTTTTCCCTCCCCCCCACCAAAAAAGAGGAAGCTCTGTTGAGAAGCAAGCAGGAATCACCACTGAACAGACAGATCACAACATTGCATGACAAAATGATGCATCACCCACTCACTGTAGTAGGGCCCTAAGTCCTACCCCTAAATTTTAATACTCTCGGTTCCATATACGTTGTAACCTTCTCTATAAGTTGCTAAATTCTGGGAATTCTGCGAGGAAGTTGGATTAAAAGTCTGTGCACTCTTTGCCACCTTCATTCTCTTCGCCTCGGCCCTGGATTTGTAACAGAATTCTATCAAAGCCACCAGCATTGCCAACCCCAGGCCGCCAACCAGAATGTAGAAGACGCCAGCAACGTTGCTGAGACTCAGAGCACTTGTCTTGTCCTACGGAAACAGAAGGGAAGAGTGTTACATTCCAGGAACAAATAGCTGGAAGCACAAACAAACAGCAGTCTACAAAAACAGGAGGGAGAGGAGTGGGGTTGTCTAAGGAACAGCTTCATTTACATAAATAGAACATTTTAATAAAATACGCGCCAAACTAACAGAGACCTTTCAAATTATCGGTACATCCTAAAACACACAGGCATGTAAACCCATTTTGAAAAAAAAAATATTGCAAAAGTCGACCTATGCTTAATTAACCCTTTGCAATAGGAGTCCCTTAGCTACTGTAATGAGTAACGGTGAAATAGTTTTACGCAATTAAATGCAGTAGCCTTCAAACATAGCTAGCTTAATGTCTAATTGTGGCTTAGGCATGAGCTTCTTCTTCTTTTTTAAATCACTAATGAGCTTATTGATCTATACCTTTTCCTTTTCGTTAGACACCCAAGGTCATAAGAAACAGAACATCTGAAAGGTTTTCCAAACACTTGTCAAGTATCATTTTTAATGAATATTACTTTACAGTGTGTTTTCTAAACTCAGCAAAATGCATTTTGCATCAAAGCTAATATTTTGGGCGGAAGGAATTTTTTTCTTCAACTGTTACTCTCTAATGTTCTACTGTGCTGTTTACGGCTTTCTTTCAAATCTTACTTAATCAGTTAGTTGCAATCTGGTGAAAAGTGAATCAGGAAAGCCACAAAAACATTAGTAACATTCCTTGGATCACTAGGTAGAAAGAGGGAAATTTCAGAATATGGTTTTTTCCCCCATGATTGTGCTTTTTTTTTTAAAAAAAGTGTAGAATGTTCTTTGTTTGGTGCTTCACAATTCTACCAGTTTTGAGTTCTAAACATGGGTGTATTAACTTTAGTGTAGTGTTAAAGGTGTATTTTTAGCCACTGTATTGTTTTCATATTGTGAACTGATATTATTACAATTCATTGTTCATTTTGGTATGGCTGGTATAGATATCTGGTATAGCAAAGTACAGCATTTTAAATGAGTGATTGTCTACCTTAATTCTTTGGCTAACAAGTTGTTTTGGGTTTGACACTATAGTGTGTATTGTTAATTAAGCAACTTAGTAGATCTCGCTTTAACCAACAAGCAATATTTTACTATTTTAAAATGAGAGTAAGTGGACTGATCTTAATGACCTTTAAAGTCCATTATTACAGCAATACAATGTAAAGGTACATTATTAAATACAGTAAGTCTTATCTGAATTATAGATTGCAGAATTGATGAGATGACAGTGTCTACATTGTGGCATTCATGTTGGATACGTAACTTTATAATCTTAGGTTTCCAAGTGTTACCAAAAAAATAAATAAATAAGGGCAGGCTTTAATTTGTTTTTTAAAAAATGTGGGGAATTAATTTCTGAGCTAGCAGTTGCTCTAGAGCAGGGATGTCAAACTGGCGGCCTGCAGGCCAGATGCGTCATTCTCTGGCCCATGCCCACACCCAGTTTAACGAACACCACACACGGGGTGTTGTAACTCCGACCCCCGAGCCCATCTTATCGGAGGGAGAAGACTCCGAAAGTGAAGGAGAGGAGTTGGCAAGGCCTCCCTCTCCAGGACCCTCCTCTCTGGCAATGCCTCAGGTGTCTCCCGAAGGAGAGGAGATAGGCCAGGAGCCAGGCATCTCCGAGCATCTGCAGTTAGACAGCGATGGAGATAAGTCTTGGCTGGATCCCCGCCAGCGTCGGAAAGACAAGCGCACGCAGCAGAGAAGGAGGCGTGGCAGAGATTAATCTGAGTCACTGGACCACATCCCACAGGGGATAAAAGGGGGTGTAGTGGCCATTCAGGCTTTGTGACGGACAAAACTGAACAGCTAGCAAGTCATACTGTGTCTCTGGAACTTTGTTATCTGCCTTCCTTGGATTTATTATTATGGACTGGACTTGACAATTCTTTGGCTTTGTGAATTTATTTTGGTTTATCTGACGGAGGAGGAACACCTCCCTCTGTGTAAAGTTTTTGGCAAGCAGGTACTGGGTTGCTGCCAATTCTGTTATCGAAGGAAATTGTTGTCTGCAAGTTTATTTTAACTCCTGGCTGACTGTTTGTGTGCGTGTGTGAGTCGGGGACAGAACAGGGAGGAAGTTGCAATATGTCACTTGATGACGCAAGTTTGAAACACCCCCCCCCCCGCTCTAGAGGAACAGTCAGCTCTATAACAGAGTTACAATGGAACTCCAGTACTGTGTAGTGAGAAAATGGCACACATTAAATAAGATTATCTTCAGATTTCATAGAAATATCCCAAACCATTCCACAGCACCATTCTGAATCTAGGTGTTCCATTTCTACAAATCCAGAATATGGAACGACATAGAAAACACTTTGGGCAAATTAAAATTGAAAGGGTTTATTATTGATGGAAAAAGCTTTTGGCTATATGTTCTCTCTCTCTCTCTCTCTCTGTGTATGTTTGTGTGTGTGTGTTTGTGTATGTATATGAATGTGCGCTGTCTTGAGGAATGTGGCTTTTGCAGATATGTATAAGTGGAGTTGAAACGTGGATTAGTGATTTTACAGCAGTATTAATGGAATATAATTTTGTTCCACGGAAGCTGAGACAAAATTAACCTCTTCAACATGATGGTTCTTCCAATAGCTGACTTATTTCCATTCCTAAGTGACCAATAACTCCCTCGTGAACACAACAATAGGCCCCGAACTTCAGCAACTGACCTTACTTCCAGAATCCTTCGGTCCACATTCACCTTTATCGTACCACCATTTGTTTTTCAGCTTGTCTAAGACGCCTGCCTCACTGAGTTTCAAAACGGCAAGGTTTACAGGAGTTCTTCACGTGGAAAATAACATAAATAACATTATATATGTTATTTTATGTTATTCAAGCAAAACTACATAGAATCGCATGGCAAAGTGATGGAGCACAGGCCACAGTGGCGGTTACACCATGTACAGAGAAGGCCTAGGGTCAGAGACAGCTATACCAATGGGACCTGCTCCATCGCTTCAAGTAATGGGCGCATCCTGCTGGGTGAAGTTTTAAATAAGTTGTCTGCAATTACTGTAAACCCAAAACTATTGGCTTCAATAATCCTTAATACGTGTTAATGGATTGTCAGATAGTTTGAGAACTTTCCTGCTTTTGTTTCTTTTTTTTTAATATAAATGGATGCCTAGCTATTAACCTCAACAGAAGTCTACCCCCTAAATTGTCAGCTGAACAGTTTAGGCTGCAAGCCAAAACAGACTTTATGTGAAATACGTTCTATTGAATTCAATGGGATCTACAGCTGAGTAAAAGTGCTTAGACTCACAATATGTAATTATTGCAACAGTCTCAATCGATATGTTTTTCAGAATCTAGGACATGTGGGATGGTTTGTACAAGACAACTAACTTGGTTACTATCTACCTTAATTTCTTACACTAGTAGCTTGTTTGGAATTTGATATTTCAGTAATTAAGCTGCTTTAAGCAATTGACAATATTTTAAAATGAGACTATGATTTGCTTCTGAATTCAATGACCACTAATATCAGTAATTGTAATAATATAATGTAAAGATCTGCTTATTCAGTAAAGTAAAATAATAATAATCTGAATTATAAATGTACAAAGCTGTTGAAATGATACCAAGGAGAAATGTGTTCATGCGACATTCATGTTGGGAATCATAACTTTTTAATTTTAGATGTTCAAAGTGCTTTAAGGGCTAGAGCTTAATTTTTAAAAGAAACTTTGGAAATCAAATGTCATTAATACCTTTTTCTGAGTTTGCATAATACATTGAACCTTCTATGAACCAAATTGTGTTTAAAAATACTAATACAACACAACACACCGACAAAATCTAACCAAAGTTAACAGCTAATATTAGCATGTCATAGATGGCATATCTGTTTTCACCTGACCTGGGTCAACGTATTATGCATAGCCTCAGAACAAAGATAACGGGTGATATGTGTGATATAAAGTTTATCCCTTCCGTACTTGCATTGTGCAAGCGAGTAAAGAGTGGAGTCAACATTGTGATGCCACAGCATACAGTTTGTCATTTTGGTATCATTGTGGTTAGCTGCTGATGCCTCTGATGATATATGAACACAGTCGACCATCTGTATGTAAACCCACCAGCCATTAAGTTAACTGAATGAAAGGGGCATAGAGTACATATTATTAGCCGTATCCATTTCTGAAGTAATTGACTTCATGAGGTGTTTCTGAATAATGTATTACAAAAGGAAGCATCAGCTACATAACTATAACATTGTTGACTGTCTTTTCTTGTACTCAACAGGAGAACATTGTGACTTGATGAAATGAATTATACAATCTGCAGTATGTGTCAACTATAGCAGGGGTCTCCAACCTTGGCAACTTTAAGACTTGTGGACTTCAACTCCCAGAGGTGGGAGGTTGGAGACCCCTGAACTATAGCACTCAAGAGGATAACTTGAATTGTGGAGTTCTTGGTGTTCTCTGGGCTTGCAGAAGTTTCATTACTTTTCTAGATAACATTATCAGAGTGAGGGAGTGCAGGGTTTCTACAGGTAGTTCTTGCTTAATAATCACCTATTTCACTGACTATTCAAACGTACAACGGTGCTGAATGAGTGGTACTTACAACTTGTCTTTGTACTTACAGCCCTGATAGCATCACCATGGTCACATGATCATGGTCTGAATGCTTGGTGTCCCGCTCGTGATTACAACATCTCAATGTCTTATGGTCATATGATTGTCATTTGGGACCTCCTTTACCAGCTGGCAAAGCTTATAGGAAGCTTCCTATAAGCAAAGTCAATGGGGAAACTGGCAGAAAATAGCAAAAGGCAGCCACGTGACATCCTCGCTTAACATCCTGCAGTGATCCTCTTATATGTCAGTAATCAAAAGTGCTGGAATTTAAGCAGTGCATTCACATTATGTCATGCTTTATGGACTGCGTTGCTTAGTGACAAAAATTCTGTTCCCAATTTTCATTGTTAAGAGAGGGCTACCTGTTGCCTGTAACTTGTCCTACCAGTTTTGACAGGTGTGTACTATAAATAAACAGACTACAAACCCCACACTCATTAACGCTGATGGTGTTATCTAGTTGGGTAATGAAATGTCTGCAAGCAAACAACCAGCTCGGAGAACATCAAGAGGTCCACAGTTCTTGTGTTACAGATATTCTCTTCTCAACCAAATAGTAGATTATCCTTCTCAGCTTTTTTTCTTTTTGAAGAAACTCCAATAAGCCCACTTTCAAACCAGCATTCTGCAAATCTGTCCTAATGAAGAATTATGCTAGGACAAGAAAAATACTTGATGAAAGATACATGATGAAAAGGATTTATTTCCTTTAAGGAATTCGGGGTGAGATTAAGCCTACAGCCCTTGATGGTAAAACTAATTATTTAAAACTCTGCCACATGTTAATTTATCAGCATTTCTCTATCTTCTGGTTCAGGAAACTTACTTTGGAGATAGATATTATTCCTGAATGGTTCACTTTTTTTTTTTTAAAGTGAATTTATTGAGCAATTGCCAAAATGACAAGACAAACTCCAATTTGGACTTCAAGACATACCAGCTGGCCTTGGTCAAAAAGAAATCTGATTAGGGTGCAAATATTTTTGTTTTGACAGTAATTGCATACATCTGGATATTGGTTGGCAATGTATTTGCAGTGCCACAGGACACCGTTGGGTCTGGAGAGCAGGAAGGAGGAACCACAGCAGACGCGCCAATTACTCAACAGTTCTTTTTACCCGCTTTGGTGACATTGAGGCTAACCTTGGAGTCACCTCCCCCGCTGCCACACTCTCCTTTGTCGTACCACCATTTGTTTTTCAATTTGTCCAAGAGGCCTTGTTCATTCAGTTTTAAAACTGCCAGGTTAACAGCATTTCTTGAAACGATAAAACATATCTTGTAAGAAACTGCATAGCTGTTAAAGATGTTAGAAGAAATGAGGATTTTAAAAAAGCTTTTATCTATGCAACTAAATAAACCTCTCATTCGTATGTCGCAAGATTCCTGTAAAAAAAAGAGAGAAAGCAAATTTGTGGAGGGGAATATGCATTTCGGGCATTTAAAAAAAAAAAAACTTGACGGTTGAGCACTCTAACAAAACTATTTGATCATGTTTTTCCAATACGGTCATTAACTCAAGAACAAATATCCAATTTGAAAAAACACACATTCAATATTTAATCTGAATATGTCTCTGTGTGTGTGTGTGTGTGTGTGTGTGTGCATTTTGTAAGAAAAGGTCAAATTATCTTCTCTGATGCGATCTGGGTTTCTTTTCAATTTCTTAGGAAGCAGTTAAGAGCCTTTATTGTTACCAGCAACATTAAATTTGTTAAATTCCATCAAACTGGAATTGCCTGCTTTTGTACTAGCAGCTGAGTTTATTTTATTTTATTGTAGCCAGGCATATGCATCCTATCTATTTCTAAAATTACATAGGAGGCAAATATCCGGAGAGTTTTATATCATAGCTTCCAGTGTAAAAAAAAGTTTAAGCATTCACATCGCTCAATGTGACTTAAAATTTTGTATGAACTAATCAACAGAGAGTTAAACTACTTATTATTACGTTCTGTTATGGAACATTTGTCCCTTGGCCTAATGTTTTCCATTAGGAATTCCATTCCAGAATTCTCAGCCGGCGTGGCTGTTTTCAACCCAGTTTCATCTTTAAGGGTAGAATGACAAACCAGGACAAGACACTGAGGGAGGCTAAAGGTGGGCAGAACTATTGAGGGTCTGGTAAATCTGGCCCTAAAGTTTCCAGCTTTGTGCCTCTTCAGGGGTTGCATTCTGCTGCCAAGGAATTCTGAGATTTTATAACCCATTTTATAATCCATTTGGGAATATCAGAGTGGAGAAACATGAGGTAAATAAAATACAAATCAACAGCAATGATTTGGAGTAGGTATTATTGTAACGATAAGTCCTAGGGAAAGATAGTTATCGTAAAGTTTATTTCCCAAGAGAAGAACTGGGCACCGGATTCAAAGTTGCACGGCTTTGGACGTGTGAGAAAATAGTGACAACATACAACTTATTGAATTATTCACCCTTTGAACTCAACAGGCCAGTTTGCAGGATGTTGTATTGATGATAACTGTGTTATTTAAGGAGAAAACCTCTGGCTGAGCCTTGTTTCATCCAATGGATCTGATTAAGGTATGTGATCCAAAGAGAAAGGAGAAAGAGAAAAACTGGACTGAAATTCTTTATTTGGTTCTTTTCATTCCAGAATTCATTGCTTCTAAATGAAGGATATTATGGATTCCAATTAAATGTTTGGATGACAGTACTTTTAATTCTAGCAACTTTTACTCAATCCTTCCAGTATTCTCACTGAAGTGCTACTCTGTGGTGGAAGTTTCAGATTTCAACCTTTTTCTTTCTATTGTGCTTAAAAGAAACCCCAACATCCTATTCTATACTGCTATATTTTTTCTTTTAAAAATCAAATCTAATGTGAACGGCATCCGCAATCCAGTCAGTACATTCATAGATCAGTGATCATAGAGAATAATGAAAATTCTGCAAAAGAGAAGTCTTTTTTAAAAAAAATTTAGTGATTTCCTTTGGTTAGGAATCTGAATTTTGCTTACACTAATCCAAAATAGTGTTTGTCAACCTTGGCAATATTCATATATGTAGACTGCAAGTCCCAGAATTTCCCAGCAACATGCAGCCTTAAAGTTGCAAAAGCTGAAAAACACTGTTCTAAGGGATACTTTGAATGTAATGCAGTGTAATGTTGAATAAAGTTGGAAATCTAGGTATAAATGTTAAGAAATTCATTTGATGTCCTCTTACAGT